AATCATATAGATCAAAATGAACGGAGTGGATCAAGTAAATTGATTGCATATAATCTAATTTTCAAGGTGCATCCTTAGGTTTAATCTAAGGTGGCTCCTTAGGTACATGTTTCCCTATATATATACACCTTTATTCTCATTGAAACAAAAAAATATTCAAAATTTGTATTTCTAGAAGTTTGTATTGAGCATCGAAAATATATGCAATTTCTTTGTGAAGTAAGACAAGAAGACAAAAGATAAAACTTTTGATGGTATTTTGTGTAATTTAAAACTTTTTATGGTATTTTGTGTAATTTTTTAAACTTTTCGAGTCTTTTTGAAATATTTCATGTATTATAATATGTTAGCTATGTATGATTTCTTAATCTTATTTTTTAAGTTGTTGAGCTATATAAGTTATAATTAGTATTAGGATAGATTATGATTCAAATGAAATATTCAAAATAGTATTTCATCTATATTATTAATCTTATTTTTTTAAATTGTTGAGCTATAGATAGTTGATAGTTCACTTGGGATTAGTATAAGATATAATTAGAATTAGGATAAATTAAGATTTAAATAAAATATTTAAAGTAATGAAGGGTAATATTGACAATGAAAAGCTTTTTCCGAACCCGTGTTTTTAAAGAGAGTATGAAGTATGATGATTTTACACATTATGAGCTACACGATCTTTCAATGTTTCAAATTTCAGTTATTGTTTTGCTTTTTCTACTCAATCCCCGTTCCCCACCCCCACCCCCCAAATTTTTTCTCCATTTAAAATTAATGAGGACATTCTGTCTGATTTTGATTATGCATTTACAAATTACCTCGACAACACTGTAATACTTACTATTGTGAATTGCTCGTGATATACAAATCATACAAAGTAAGACTAGATATCAGAAAACCCCCATAACTTTGGATGATTATGTGATAGCCCACTATAACTTTGAAAATGTAACAAACTCCCCCCTCAAGTTTAGGGATTATTAGGTAACCCTTTTTAACATTGAGATTTTATCAAAAAACTCCCTAAAACACTTCTTAAAACCCCAAAAATTATGTTAATATCTGAAAGTTAAAAGGGAGATTTTTTGATAAATCTTAAAGTTAAAATAGAGTTTTCTAATAATCCTGATTTGGGCCCATATGGCACATGTCACCATTTTATCCATTTGATCAAACATCAAGATCCCACAACCCAGAGGTAAAATTAAGAAGCCCTACGCTCATAAAAGCCCAGCCCTAACCCCGAAAACCTTAAACTTCAAGTGATGAATTGGAAAATTTTGAGGTTTGATTTCTCATTCTCTCTCGATCTTCTTCTATTTTTATTGAAAAATATTCGATTTTGCGATCATTAGGCGCCTTTATTTCCCCCTTTATCTATGAGTTATGATGAGTTTGATTTCTAAGGCGTAGCTTTCATTTTTAAATATCTTTTTTTTACCGAATTAAGGTTTTTATTTATCTAATAAGTAATGGTTGCATATATAAAACAATCATATTTTCATCAAGATGCTGTGATTTTAGAATCTTAGCAGATTAGGGTTTCTGTTGGTTATCAATAGTTCTAATTAATGTCGCATTTTTGGTTAGATAAACGTTAAATTAATGCTGTTAGCATGTATCTTGCAAGTAATTACTGTCAATTTTTACTGAACCATGAAATACTTATCCTTTAAGAATCTCCGATTGGTTTACAGTTTTTTATTCGTGAATGAATAAAGATTTTATATCAAAACATCATCTTATTTTGTCCGGATACTGTATTCTTAGAATTCTTGACGGATTAGGATTCTGTTATTTGTCAGTTGTATAGATAATTGTTTGGTCAGATTAAGTACCTAGGAAACGTTGTTCCTTCAGTAACTTGCAACTACCAATTTCATTTTTCGTTGAAATTTTCTTTTCTGGAAGTCAATTTGTTATGTATCACTATGATTAATAATGTCAGTTTCCTGTAATATATAACTTTTTTTTATGTGGGCACTTTATTCGTCTTGTAGACAATAAGTCATGTACCCTTCAAAGGGAAGTGGTGCATATGGGCAGCAGCCATATTCTGGTCAACAGTCATATGGGCAAATTGTGAGCATCCAACTTACTATGATTAGATTTCTTAATTTTTTTGCTACATTTTTTTTGATATTATTTGCATTTTGTTTTCTTGACTTGCTATTTTATTTGAAGCCCGGAGCTGGTAATGCGGGAGCTCAACATGCTATGGCATCTAGGCAATCGATGATGGGGGCTATGCAAGAAGCTGATGTTAGTGGATATAGAACTCAGTCTGCACAAGGGACTCAATATGGAGGGCCTTATGCTTCTGTTTATGGGTCCACAGCTTTGACCAGTTCCCATCAGGTTGTTGCCAATACTGTCTTGCATTTAGTTCGCGTGTCTTGATTCTGTTAGCTACTTCGCCCATGTTTTATTCCATTGTGGAGTGAGTGAAATAGTATGTATTTATTTCGATGCTTGTTTTGGGATTTGCATAGAATAAGACTTCCATATACTGCATATACCAACAATAAATGCTTGATATTAATGCTGATCAATGATTTCAGAGAAAAGTTTATGTTGGAGCGGTTGAGGTGATAAAGTCTGTTATTTTGACTTAACCAGTTACTTGTAGTGTAGATTAAGCTGAGTAGCTAGGTCACGAGTAAAGAACATATTTAATGATGTCTTAGAAGATCAGACAGTAATTTGGTCTTTGGTATTGTATGAGTGAACATGTATTTAGAGATGAAGATCTCTACTAGCAAAGAAAATAATTATTAGAAAGTGAAAATACTTCGAGTATATTAAGTACATAAATAATGCTAAGGAATAGGCTTTTTGTTTGGTTTGTTCTTTATTATCTTCTGAGATTGACAATGTGTATTCCTATTTGAGGTGGTTATATGGAACATTAGATTTTTGTTTTGTTTGGCCATTGATCAAATCACTAATATAATTTGATTACTCTTCAACTTAAAATGTCAGCATGACTGACCAGTCACTTCTTTGACCAATTAGAAGATTAATTTGTACATGAGGAAGCCTTTCTGTCACTATAATATAAGTTTCCTTCATACCCTGGAAAGATTAAGCAACCAGATGGATTCTTCCTTCTCCAAGCTTTCTTAGTCTCGCATACACTACTAAACAACGATAATGAGCTAAACAACCCTATTTTCGACTCTTATCCCATACTTTCTTAATTATATTTGCTTTTTTATTGTTCATCTAGGATATTCCATACATTCTTAATTACCAGTTTCTTCTTGAACTTTTGGATGTCATTAAGCATTGTATGTTTTCTTTCTTTCCTTTAGGGAATATTCTATGAGAACAATTCATGAATTTGGCACCTCCTACTTTTCCCTCCTCTTGCATCCTTTAGTCTTGTTCTTGTGTAGTTTCAGCAAGCGAAATGACCTTGTCTCCTCTGTCAAGTATCAACCATTCATGGGAACAGATCTTTTATGTGACATAATTTGAGTTTTGTACTGCAATCTCTGAGCTGTTTTTTCCTTAACACAGGGAACTGTGCCTTTGGATGTTAACTCCTTTCAAAAGCCTGGAACTCGTATAAATTTCAACTTTTCCATAAGTCAATACATTGCTTTCTCTCGGAGTTACCTTGTTTCACTGTTATAAATAGGTAAATAGCGCCGCTAAGAGTGTTAGCGGTCCCTTCTCGCTACGCTAGTGCCTAATAGTGGTGACAAATTGTGAAATATGCGTTTTCCACTCGCAAAAGCGGCTAATAGCACGCTATAGCAGTGAATAGCGGTGATTGTTGGCAAAATCCGCTTTTTGGCCGCTATTTAAAAGCGGTTTGAGATTACTTTTTTTAAAATTAAATATGACCTGGAATCACTACATCCCACCGCCCCCCATGATTTTCGGCATATTCCCGCCTGACACGTCCTTCAACACTTCCTCTCACCTCCTCTCGTTTTGAGCCCGCCTACTTTCCTCTCACCGCTCTAACTCATCTTCTCTAAGACGATGACTGACTCCTCCACCAGTCGTCTTTGGTATTATGTGACGGTTACATGTCTATTTCATGTTTAGGATCCCTTTTAAGTCATTAAATATGCACTTTTAGATTTTCTATAATTTTCTAGAATTTTTCTTATTATTTTGTACAAATATAAATTAGACCCCTATTTTACCGTGCGCTTTTTACCGCTATTTTACTGCAATAGCCCCAAATAGTCTTAGCAACGTCTCACCACTATGCGATGCTATTCGCTATCGATAACCTTGTCTTGTTTTCAGTGATTCTTAGTATTGAGATGTTTTAGACATGTTTTTCAATTGCTGGCTATCTGTTATTTTTTGCTTCCTGCCCGTCATATGCTCCTACGATATTTGGACATCATTTCTTTTCCAAATCAAGGTTCAAGTTTCTTATAGCGCATAGTAAAGTCGACTCATTATCATGTGTGATTTAGGCATTCATGTGTTCCATGTCATGACTCTTGAAAGTTAATTGTGGAAGATTTGATAGTAGTTCATATATCATTATATTTGGAAGTGATTTTGTATGCTCTTGGCTTATTCTGATCTTGTGAGATTATTCCCTTCCCTACAAAAGAACAAACACATCATCTTAAACTCTTCATGTAGACTGTAGTTTCGAACATGCGGTTAAGTTGAAAAATATAATTGGGAATGGTCAAAAAAATGCTTAATATTGCCTCAGTATGCAGCCATGCATTTTCCATTGGAACCTTAGTATTTATGGCCACACGATATTGTGGAGGAATATCTTTCTGTTGTTCTTGATATATCATTGAATAACATCTTTTGTTGGTTCAGGTTGGTGGTAAGGGTTCTAGTTCATCTAGCCTCCAGGGTCAATATTCTTCAGCATTACCAGAGTCATCTAAGTTCTCATCTGCAGCTCAAGGCTCCAACTTGGGAATGAACAGTGATGATTATGTTTCAGCATCAAGTCGTGTCTATGCTCAGAAAGGGGACCTCTTTACTGGTGTAAAAAATTCTGATTATCCTTCAATAGACAGAAGGCAATATGGTGATCAGGCTGCTTATATGGGAAGGGAACTGGCAAACGATCCAGCTAGACGATATGCAGATTCTGTTTCTATTAGCCAGCAGCATCAGGTAAGTTCTTTAATATTTTTTGATCTGAAAGTTCTTTAATCTCTTTTGGTCTGGTATCTTCTTAGTGGCTATGTTTGATTCTGTAATCTTACCTCTGTTCTTTATATTTTGTTCACACTAGGCTGATATGCACGACCGTTTGGACCAGGTATTGCAGTTATTTTTCTGCTGTTTCTAGTAGATCCTTTATATTCTGAATATGATTAATAACCTTCTTATAAAACTTTTCTAGGCTTCACTGCTTCGACAGCAGCAGATATTGAAGGCTCAGTCACTGCAGTCAGCTTCTGATATAAGGTGTGTTTGACCGATATACTTAAGGCTATAGTTATGAGCTTCCTTTTGTTGGTTACAACGGCTAAACATTTACTTTAGTAATGCTAAATTCTGGCTCCTAGCAACTCTTATGCTCACATAATAAGCCTTGTGCTTTGCTCTGCGTCAGTGTGCACTTTAGTTTCAGATTAGTTTCCGTTATATCCGAGGAATGAGGATAACAAAGATTGCTGCGGCATATTTGCTCTATTATTGTTACCTTATCTGTTTTTGCACTGAGTAGAATATAAATTTCTGGCAGACAAGCTGACTACCTTTCAGCTAGGCCTGCCCCAACTCATCTTGGATCACAAGATTATAATTCATATGGTGGAAGAATGGAGGTTGATCCCCGCAGTTTGCCTATTCTCCCTAACCCTCCTTACGCCGGCCAACCTGCAGCTTCCGTTCTAGGGGGAGCGCCAAGGAGAAATGTGGATGACCTGTATACACAAGGTTCGTCCAGTGCTGCTTATGGTGTGGGTTTGCCCCCTGGTCGGGATTATATCGCTGGGAGAGGCCTTCATGGACAAGCTCTCGAAGCAGATTATCGATCATTATCGCATGTACATCCTAGTCTTGGAGATGATATAAGTGCTTACCGTCGAGAACTTGAAAGGGATGAGGAGCGTCGTAGGGAATTAATCCGGGAGAAAGAGAAAGAACGAGAAAGGGAGGAGCGTGAACGTCGAAGAGACAGGGAACGTGAAAGGGAGCGAGAAAGGGAGCGCGAAAGGGAGAGAGAACGAGATCGTAAGCGTGCATTGGATGCTAGGCGAGAGCGAACTCCATTACGATCTGCGAGAGATCGCCGAGGCTCTTCTTTGTTGAAGGATGAGAGAACTCCTCGTGGAATCTCTCCTCGCCGTATCTCACCTCGTCGTGTTTCACCTCGTCGGGCTTCACCGCGTCGGACTTCACCGCGTAGAGCTTCACCACATCGAGAAGCTGTTAATAGGTGGAGCTCAGTATTCTTTTGCACCCTGATTACGCTAGCTGCTGCTTCATTTAGTTGCAGCTTTTTAACTAACTATTTGTTCTGTTATGCTGAAGGCATCGTTCACCCATTAGAGAAAAAAAGAGAGAATATATTTGCAAGGTAAATTCATGTAGTTTCTCACCTTGAATGTTTTAAGATTGATTGATCAATCAGTCAAACTATTTGATTCTTAGGCCAGTCAATTTTGTTTCTGTTCTCAAGTTCTTACCGTCATTGTTTTCCTATCAGATGTTGAAATTCTTCTCGTCATCTCATTGTCACTTCTTCCTAGCACATTTTGAATTACTTCTCATGTTATTCTTATTCATTCCTGACACTGTTGCAATCTATTATCAAGCCACCTTGAACTTCGGTACATTGTCATCAATAATGGGTGACATACGGGTGAACTTGAATTCCGTATACCTAATGAATTCGGTTACTTGAATTCCATATACCAAATGAATTCGGTTTCTCCTTTGACATCTCATTTCTTGCTGTGACTTTCACATTCAACGCGTGTTCATCTGACTTCTTGCTGTGACTTCCATCAGTACGTCGCTTCTTTTACTGCCAATAACCTTTGCAGCGTTTGAACACATTATAACTGTGCAGTGACATCTTGAATGTCATCTCCATTTGAAACAGTTTATTTAAAGGGTATATTTTGCAAATAATTTGCACCAAGAGCAGTCAATGCAATTGATTGGTTCATGGTGCTCCTTTTTAGTAACTGATTGTAATTGCATATTCTATTCATTTTATTTGTGCTACTAATGTCATTTATGTACATATATGATTTATCCTTTTCTAAATCATTCTAGGTGTTTTGGCAGGTTTACCCAAATTGTTTGGTGGATGCTGAGAGGGATTATTCGTCTTTAAATAAGCGATATCCGAGGCTGTTTATATCCCCAGAATTTACAAAGGTGTTTCGCTTTATACGGCTATATGTTTGAAACATTTGATTATTTTCTGATAGGATTCTATCTAATCTGTAAGCACTAATTAGTTTAATGCTGCCCTATTATCATCTCCAGCTTGTTTTGCACTGGCCAAACCAGAGTTTGCATCTTTCACTTCAGACTCCTGTGAGGTAATCTTAGTTGGATGTCTATTTGCTGAATAATTTATATTTTATCAGTGCTTTGCTTATGGATTACTGAGATTCTTTGCTTCACTTGTGGATTAGTTTTGAACATGAGTATGTGGAACTGGAGAACAAAGGTGAGAAAGCCTTAGATTCTGCTGGTGAGCCATCAAGAACAAAGCATGAAAATACTGTTTGGAATGCAAAGGTAAATGCCATATAAAGTTTCTTTAGGCTTTTGCAAAGTTGATCTGGAAACAATCTGATAATATTAAGTTGCGCCATTCTGGTGATGTATAATTTCTGTAACTTACATTACTATACATTGTTGTTAACTTGAGGTGCACCTTTACTTTTGGAAGATTAAGATTTAAGTATCAGTATGATTATTACTTTAATGGATTAAGTGATTTAGAAGGAAGGAGGATTGTGAAAAGGGATGTAATTCGGGTCTTGAGGACTCAAATCAATAGCGAGTGAGGATAACAATCCAAATAGTTATTTGATAGAATTGAGTATGTTATGATCACTTATATAGGCATGACTGTCCTTTTCTATTCCTAGTAGATTTGTACTTTTTGTTTCCCTAGTTTATTCCTAATCAAATATAAAGGTAAGACAAATTATCTATAAAACATTTCATAAAAGAAAGCAATCAGATGTTTCCCTCTAAAGCAACTCATCTAGGAAAGTAAAATTGAAAACGAAAATTTCCTAGTAAATCACTCGCCTTTTATAAATAAGCCTACAAGAAAGTTTCTTAGAATTCTAAATCAGTTAAAATTCTGAATCAATTAAAATCCTAATCAATCCGAATTCATTTCAATATGATGATATTTTGACGGCTATCTCCCCTTTATCATATTGAACTCAAGAATTTCCGCATCTTTAAGGATTTAAACGTTGATATCAATTTTAAATTCATGATCTTTTATAATTTTTTATGTAGTATTGGATTGTTTTTATCTGGACAGTTACTATGTATCACTTATTTGAATTGAAGGTTCAATTAGAAGAGTTGACCCGTGGTAGAGCTCCTAGCAATTCATTTTCCAGTGTTTCCAAAGACTTTTGGCTATATCTCTTATGTCAAGTCTAGCTTTTAATAGGATCGCTGATTTGGAAAATTAATATCAAATGATTTTTGGGGCAATATTTGCATAGGAACCCCATCAATCTATGTTGCGTAAATACATTTATCATGAAGCTGTAACCGTGCCAGACATGTATCGTACCCATACCAGACACCAGCATTACTTGAATATACACATTAATTCAGACAATGACTTATTTATATAATATATGTTTTAATTTTAAGCACTTTTCATACGATACCCTACACTTCACATCCACATCGAGGAACTCATTGGACACAAGTCAGGTTCTTTTTAGTTCATACTCTGTTCATAACTATATTTTAAATGATCGTTTCGTATCTTGTTCAAAAATGAGCAATTTTCTAACTTATAATCTACATAATAAAAGAAACTGCAAATTTAAATTCTCATAACTTGTAAATGAACAAAGAATATTGATCTTATGTAAGTTATTAATTTTGATACATACATATAAATGTATACGTGTGCAATAAATGATGCGTATGAGGAAATGACCATCATAGAGGGATCTCACCACCCTATGTCTTGATAGCTCATTTAAAAAATGAGCCGTCGCCTATAAACATCAAAACTATAGAGGTATAATATTTTGGAGCTTTTAAAATAATTATTTTAGCACTAAAAGGGAAGAAATAATATTTTCTGATACTAAGGTATTATGATTCTCTTTAAAGCTGTACGATGAATTAAATTTTTGGAAAATGGAAGTATAGAGGCAAATTAAAATTTGTGTTCTTGTTCTACATATTCTTTGTTTCTAACGAACCCATAACTTTTTTCTTTTCTTCGTTAAAAAAAACACGCTGAAATCTTAATACTGACCTTGGAGAAAACAAGTTCTTCCAATTTTCTTGTTTCCATATTTCTTTTACAAGTTCTTTGGAGGCGATAAATTTTCACGTTCCAATATATGAAGGGATAAATTCTCGTGTTTCAATTTAGAAGAGACAAATCTCATGTTTCAATTTACAGAAATTCTAAACCTTTTAGTTTACTTTATATAAGACTTCACATTTAATCTCTAATAAATATGTAGCAATAAATCAAATATTATTGAATAAAATGAATTACAACTAAATAATGAAACTTTCTGGGCTTTTCTTGTGGGTTATGCAATTTATGAAATATAATTTTCTATCTGCCCCTATGTTTCCAAAAAAATTACTTTTTTCGTTCAATTTTAAAGAAACTGCAGAGTGCCTTACTATCGGATAATTTATTATTTATTTTCTACCTTCCATATTTCTAAAATATTAATTTAGAAGCCCTGAAATATTAAATAAACAGATTTTGAGAAAGATACTTTCAACAACCTCAAACATGGGTTTTGTCTAAAACATTTTTTAAAGAATTATGATTTCATGATAAGCTTTGTTATAACTCCTAATTGTTGAAAACATTAATTTTTAAGTCCAGGACGTTTTAAAAGGAGCTTTACTGAAAGCCACTTTGTGGATAAAAGTTATCCTTTAGCCCTGTTTTCCAGAAATATTGTTTTTTGGTTCAAAAAGAGAACCTTCACTTAGTAATTTCTTGACTTTAGTATCTGTTAGTATCATGCTTTTTTTGTTTCTGTTTTTTTGGTTTTTTGTTTGTTTGTTTGATTTTGTTTTTGAATTAAGACTCATTTTTTTTAATTTGTGGGCATTTTAGCATAGGAACAACTTTTAAATTAATTTTGTTTTATACAAGTATCAAACCAATTTTCTATACACAAATATTAGAGCAACACTAAATTATTTTATGGAAAGGATGTGCATGCATGATCACCATACTTGTGTGTGTGTAGGTGTGTGTGCATCCATAAACACCTGTATCTCCGTAGAACAAATTGTCATGTCCTCCACAGTATCCATGCAACAGCGGCCACTAGTACCATCTCTCTATTGCGAACTTTAAACTTATGGTACAAAATAGTGACTGTAAGATGCTACCTTGTTTAGGGGTTTCCTATGTGCTGTGAAATTATTATTTGAATGATCCTACCTCCTTAACAAAACATGTTCCATTATCTTTCTTCTCTGCTTACCTGAGCTAGTTCTATTGGTGTGTGCTTTCTCATTTCAGGTGATTTTGATGAGTGGGATGAGCAGTGATGCTTTGAACAACATGTGTTCTTACAGAAGTTCTGATGAAAGGATTATCCACTTCAACAACATCATCAGATTTGCTATTCTTAAGAAGGAACATTCTTTCATGGCTATTGGTGGTCCATGGAACGCAGAAATAGATGGGGGAGATCCATCAGTAGAAGACTCTTCCCTGATTCAAACAGCATGCAGGTGATTAATCTTATTCCTTCCAAATGAGCACTTATAATATTTGTATATACCATTGGATGTTTGCTCCGAACTAAAAGTGCATTTTTGTTTTTTTTCAATGGCAGATATCTTAAAAATATTACCCAACTTGATTTACAGAATTGCCAGCATTGGAATCGTTTCCTTGAGGTACCCTTTGCTTTATGTTTTTTCCTTACAAATGGAATTTATGGTCAATATGGGGGCACTGCATATGTAATTTAATATCTTTTTGTTTTTCGTTTTAAAATATTTCCTTTCTAATGGAATAAACTTAGCATGTTAGTGTATTTAGTCACCTAATCATATATGACGATCGCTTACAACTATACAGAAACCTTTGCGTCTTCTGTTTTTGATTTCTTCCCTGTAGCCTCGTAAACTAAACTCTACATCCTTCAAGAATTATCTGTGAAGAACTTGAGTTATCATATACATACTTTTTCCTTATATCTTATCCTTTTACATTCCGTTGATTCTGTTGCTGTTTTTGTGATCCAAAAAATAAATAAATAAATAAACCCCAAAAATTCACTTGATTCTATTGCTGTTTTTGTGATCCATATTTTTTAACTATTACCATGTTCTTTTTAAGACTCTTTCTTCATGTAAAATTAATAAAAAAATATTCCGCAAATGTTTCTTGCAGTATGATCTTTTTTGTGATGGAACATCATTAGACCATTTACTCTATTTTGCTGTTTTGCATTAACAGCACAGTTTCTGATAGTATGTTGGTTAAGATAAAGGTGCTGTGTCCTCTTATTGGCTTTCTTATTCTCTATTTATTCTCTACTCTTGAATAATGGCTCTGCAAATGATCATTCTTTAATATTTTCTCCCTCTTAAAACTATTTATGTACTGTCCTTTTCATCTTTTGTGTAAACATTTCAAATGTATTAATTGCCATGTTATCCTCTCTCTATTCTAGTTCAGACTCTGCCACCTTCCCAGGTTGGAAGGCAATGTCATTCAATTTAATGTATTATGTACCTTCAATTATTTCTAAAATAGCACACTACATGCTTCACCCACCCTTGTGAACGCTGTAAATCTGTAACCCTTTTTTCTTGTGTGGAAAGTATTCTCTGTTTAAACTTATTAGTTTTAGTCACCTTTATTTTATTTTATATCCTTGTATAAATATTCTCTGTGGACCAATCTTTTAGGTGTCATGTATGTGTCAATCTGTGACTGTTTACTTTAGTCTATTATACACCGCCTGAATAAGTAATAGTTACTTATTGGTGCTATTTGCTAAAGATGTACCTGAGTCTATACTCTTGTGTTGTTATTACAGTCATGCATCGTTATTTTTCACTTGATCTCATTGAACTGCCACTAAGCTAAGTTCACTTTGGACATGCAAGTTTAATGTCAATACATGTATTTCTTGGTAGAGTGCTAAATGTCACATTTCTCCTTGGATTTCTATTTGAGTTTTAGTTTCAATTCTGCAGCTTGGCTGAAAATTTTCTTTTGGGCTAGTTATGGCCTTAAACTAGTAATATGTACTATCGGAAGTTGACTGATTCTTTTGTCTGTTCTACCAGATACATTATGATAGAATGGGAGAAGATGGTCTATTTAGTCATAAAGAAATCACTGTATTATTTGTTCCGGATCTCTCAGAATGCCTTCCTTCACTTGATGCATGGCGAGCTCAGTGGCTTGCACACAAGAAAGTTGTGGCAGAGAGGGAACAACAACAGGCTGCAAAGGATAAGGTTATCAATATAACTATCTTTCTAGTTGCGATTAATTTTTCCAGATGAACTGATCTCAACTCTTATCTTCATTTTGTCATTTCAGAAATTCACAGACAAGGAATCCATGCATGGTAAATTTATTCTCAAGATTAAGTTTGTTATGGCATCCTTTGATTTTATCTTCTTTTTCAATTTTAGTTGAGATTGTGCAGGTTTTATTGTATAGTTTACTGCTAATTACTGATAGCAACTATAAATGATAACCTTGTAGAAAAAGTTAAGGCTGAAGGTAGTGCTGGAAAAGGTGCAAAAGTTGCTGAGACCAGCGCTGATGGTCCCATTAGGGAAATGGAAATTTCTACAATGAAAGCAGATGATCCTAAAGATACCAATAAAGAATCTGACAAGAAAAATGTTGTTGATCAGAAAGGAAAGGGACATCAACTTGATGAAATATTGACAGAGAACAATGCTGAGGGAGGAGATAAGGAAGGTAACACTGATGGGAAGAAGGTTCCTGATGGGGCTAATTCTGAGCTTTCAGCGGAAAAGCAAAAGCCATTAAAGAAGAAAATCATCAAGAAGGTAGTGAAAGGAAAAGCAGTTGGCACGAAAGTGGAGGTGACTGGGGAGGATGTTGCTGCCAAACTTGATGACAAGTCGGATGTTAAGGCTGAAGGGGATACACAAATCAAGCCAGAAAATATTGTCAAGGAAGAAGACGCAGGTGACAAGGCGAATGTTAAAACATTTACTAGAAAGAAAATCATTAAAAAGGTACCTGCTGGAAAGTCTGCTCAGAAGGTAGAGAACACCGTTGATATTTCTACCAACCAAGCTGAGAAGAAACCCGAGGTTGAAACAGAGAGTAAAGATGAAAAAATAATAAAGAAAGAACCTGAGGAAGCTGCTGCCCCTCAGCAAACTGGGGTTAAAGCAACTGGGAAGAAGAAAATTATTAGAAGGGTGATTAAACGAAAGGTTTCTAGTACTGAAGAAAAGATAGTGACCGCTGTTAAGGAGGCTGGAGATGAAGTGGAAACTGTTGCATCAGAGAAAGCGAGCAAAGTAGAAGCAACGAAAAACGGGGTTGAAAAACAAGATGAGGGTATAGTTGGAAGCAGTAACTCAAAAGAGAAGATGATATCTAAGGAGTCTAAGACACTGACTGCTGAGAAGGGTAACACAGCTGAAAAGAAAGAAAAGAATGAGAAGGAAAGCAAAATGGAAAATAAGTCAACTAAGCAGAATAATGAGTCAGAAAAAGGGGTCTCAAAGGATAGTTCTGAACCTGATGCTGGAAAGGAAAAAGATTCTAAGAAAAATGATAATGATATCAAAAAGGAAAAAACAAAAAATGAGAGAGAAAATAAGAGTGAAGATGCCAAGGACCCTAAACGGAAATCATCCAAAGATATAAAGGAAAAAGGAAAGATTGAGGAGCCACCTCAACACCCAGGACTGTTTCTACAAACAACACGGAGCAAGGGATCAAAGGTATGTTGAATTGAACATTTACTGGATAACCATTTAATTTTTTCTAGCCAAATAGTTTGAGATGTTTCTTTTCACTTGTAAATTGAACTGCAGATTAGATCAATGTCTCTCTCATTGGATGGGCTCCTGGATTATAATGACAAAGACATTGAAGAATCAACGTTTGAGGTTGGTTTTCTTAAAAAGAATCACCTATAGTTCCACTTAAAGCATGGACGCCATTTTCTGAACATGTTTTGTCTTTCTCATCTATGTTTTAATCTTTTTCAATCTCCAAAAAGTTGAACCAACTGATGATGTCATAAATTGGGGAATGACATCTCGTGGGGGAATGACATCTCCATCCATGTTGGAAATCTTGTTATCATGATTAACACTTTCCACTTGGGTGTAACATGTCACAACAAATATAGCTTTTAGTTCTTTTTGCTCATCATTATGAGATGCTATCTTCTTGAAAAGCAGAGTGATGTCTGATGTATTGTGATTGATTAATATTCTGTTACAACCTTGTGCAGTTATCTGTTTTTGCTGAATCACTAAATGAGCTGCTTCAGTACCAAATGGGTTGCCGTCTGTTATCATTTCTTGAGGTAGAATTTACTAATTTATGATATTTTTTTTTCTAAATTCTTGATGTGTATTTTCTCTTCTAATATTCTGTTTGTTTCTTCATATACTCCTTGGTCATTTCTTGAGGTAGAGTTTCCTAATTTTCTAATCTGCCTTTTCTTTTGTATGTAGAAATTGCGCAGAAGATTTGTTATAAAGAAGAACCAGCGCAAGAGACAAAGAGATGAAAAATCTGAAAGGGATAACAAAGAGAGCTCATCAAAGCGTTCTAAGGTCACTGAAGAGTCTCCAGTGCAAAATGAAAAATCTGGAAAAAAAGATGCTGCAGAAGATAATGATGAAACAATGGGTGAGCGTGGGTCTGCAGATGAGAAAGGTGAACCTAAAATAGAAAAAAACTCAGATAATGGTGCTGACAAAGTTGAATATGAAGAAGGAAACAAATCTGAGACTGATGATGAAAATGATGAAGAAGAAGAGGAGGATCCAGAAGAAATAATGGAGGAAGATCAAGAAATGAATGATGTTCCTTTGGATGATGGAGGCCAGGAGGTAGGCATTACACTGTTTTTTTGTTCTAAAAATTGTTTATAAAAGCACCCTTCTTTCAGCATGACTATTCCTCTTAGAGATATCTTTCACCTCTGATGGGGCTAGAGTTCACCTAATTTTGTTATTGCTAATTAGGCTTGACTGCTCATTTGGTTGGAGTAGGTGTTCAAATTTGAATTAGTGGAATCCACTGGTAATGGTTCATCCCAAACAATTCACTATTGCCTTATCTGGGTATTAGAGATATTACATAAAAAAATAGGTATATTTCACGATGGGGGTGACGAGATTCTGAGACTCATGTTTCCATTATAACCTATTATCATTGTTGCTTTTTCCAATAAATTATGCATATTTTTATCAGAGATCTACAAAGGCATGAACCTTTTTTTTGGGACATTTAGGTGTAGTTTGATATGAAAGGGGAGTGGAACCTAGAATAAAGGCTACAATTTCTTGTGTGCTTCTGTCCTGCTGTTGATCAATGAAGTCCTCTTAAAAGCATTATCCTTTATTGTAGGCACAATTGAGATCAGCCTGTTTTTTTTCGATCTGAAATTGATACGTAGATTTCAAGTAAAACTTCTGTTCTGATCAGTATTTATGGTTTTCCATTTTGATGAGTAATTGTTTCTATTATACACAATATGTGACTTGTGATACTTTATGCATTAGAACAGGGGTTAGGCGATCATTTTTGTTATTTGATTAGAGTTTGACAAGAAACTAGATAGGTGCGTTTGACTAAGTGATGCATGTTGCAAGAAATTTTGTAAGATAATTGTTAGACTGAAATAAACTTATGGTTGGGTATGCATTCAATAAAAAAGAGTCCTCTGCAAAGTATGATTGATGTGGCATACACAAGAATATGCTTATGTTTTGCAAAAGAGGGAGGATAATTACATAACTGAGTTCGTGAGAAGTAATTGGTGTTTAGTAAAGTTATAAATGTTTAAGGTCAGGGATGCTTTGTAGATAAAGTGAAGATAGCTACTCAATATTGCACTAACACGCTTGACAATGTTGGAGGAGGCCTTATTTAGGAGTGATGCTTGTCCCTGTGAAGGATTACAAAGTCATGAACAGGACCTTGACAGGGATGGACGTTATTGAACGATTTGAAAACTTAATGTAATGCAAGTCACTGGTGAAATATGGTCACACAATTGTATCTTTAATTGATTGGGATAATTTCTGATTATGGTATTCGGATTATTCATTTTTTTTCCATCTATGATATTTGGTGTGTTCGCTAATTTCAGTTGTCTTGCTCTGACTGTCAGATTCTTCTGATGTCATGTGTTCATTCCTTAGCTGTTGCAATTTAGAGTCATCCAGTGCCCTCTTTTTTTGGCAAATTATATTGTGACTACAGAGGATGAGAATGAGAACATCTATGATATTTGGTGTGTTCGCTAATTTCAGTTGTCTTGCTCTGACTGTCAGATTCTTCTGATGTCATGTGTTCATTCCTTAGCTGTTGCAATTTAGAGTCATCCAGTGCCCTCTTTTTTTGGCAAATTATATTGTGACTACAGAGGATGAGAATGAGAAGTATTCTCTGTTTAAACTTATTAGTTTTAGTCACCTTTATTTTATTTTATATCCTTGTATAAATATTCTCTGTGGACCAATCTTTTAGGTGTCATGTATGTGTCAATCTGTGACTGTTTACTTTAGTCTATTATACACCGCCTGAATAAGTAATAGTTACTTATTGGTGCTATTTGCTAAAGATGTACCTGAGTCTATACTCTTGTGTTGTTATTACAGTCATGCATCGTTATTTTTCACTTGATCTCATTGAACTGCCACTAAGCTAAGTTCACTTTGGACATGCAAGTTTAATGTCAATACATGTATTTCTTGGTAGAGTGCTAAATGTCACATTTCTCCTTGGATTTCTATTTGAGTTTTAGTTTCAATTCTGCAGCTTGGCTGAAAATTTTCTTTTGGGCTAGTTATGGCCTTAAACTAGTAATATGTACTATCGGAAGTTGACTGATTCTTTTGTCTGTTCTACCAGATACATTATGATAGAATGGGAGAAGATGGTCTATTTAGTCATAAAGAAATCACTGTATTATTTGTTCCGGATCTCTCAGAATGCCTTCCTTCACTTGATGCATGGCGAGCTCAGTGGCTTGCACACAAGAAAGTTGTGGCAGAGAGGGAACAACAACAGGCTGCAAAGGATAAGGTTATCAATATAACTATCTTTCTAGTTGCGATTAATTTTTCCAGATGAACTGATCTCAACTCTTATCTTCATTTTGTCATTTCAGAAATTCACAGACAAGGAATCCATGCATGGTAAATTTATTCTCAAGATTAAGTTTGTTATGGCATCCTTTGATTTTATCTTCTTTTTCAATTTTAGTTGAGATTGTGCAGGTTTTATTGTATAGTTTACTGCTAATTACTGATAGCAACTATAAATGATAACCTTGTAGAAAAAGTTAAGGCTGAAGGTAGTGCTGGAAAAGGTGCAAAAGTTGCTGAGACCAGCGCTGATGGTCCCATTAGGGAAATGGAAATTTCTACAATGAAAGCAGATGATCCTAAAGATACCAATAAAGAATCTGACAAGAAAAATGTTGTTGATCAGAAAGGAAAGGGACATCAACTTGATGAAATATTGACAGAGAACAATGCTGAGGGAGGAGATAAGGAAGGTAACACTGATGGGAAGAAGGTTCCTGATGGGGCTAATTCTGAGCTTTCAGCGGAAAAGCAAAAGCCATTAAAGAAGAAAATCATCAAGAAGGTAGTGAAAGGAAAAGCAGTTGGCACGAAAGTGGAGGTGACTGGGGAGGATGTTGCTGCCAAACTTGATGACAAGTCGGATGTTAAGGCTGAAGGGGATACACAAATCAAGCCAGAAAATATTGTCAAGGAAGAAGACGCAGGTGACAAGGCGAATGTTAAAACATTTACTAGAAAGAAAATCATTAAAAAGGTACCTGCTGGAAAGTCTGCTCAGAAGGTAGAGAACACCGTTGATATTTCTACCAACCAAGCTGAGAAGAAACCCGAGGTTGAAACAGAGAGTAAAGATGAAAAAATAATAAAGAAAGAACCTGAGGAAGCTGCTGCCCCTCAGCAAACTGGGGTTAAAGCAACTGGGAAGAAGAAAATTATTAGAAGGGTGATTAAACGAAAGGTTTCTAGTACTGAAGAAAAGATAGTGACCGCTGTTAAGGAGGCTGGAGATGAAGTGGAAACTGTTGCATCAGAGAAAGCGAGCAAAGTAGAAGCAACGAAAAACGGGGTTGAAAAACAAGATGAGGGTATAGTTGGAAGCAGTAACTCAAAAGAGAAGATGATATCTAAGGAGTCTAAGACACTGACTGCTGAGAAGGGTAACACAGCTGAAAAGAAAGAAAAGAATGAGAAGGAAAGCAAAATGGAAAATAAGTCAACTAAGCAGAATAATGAGTCAGAAAAAGGGGTCTCAAAGGATAGTTCTGAACCTGATGCTGGAAAGGAAAAAGATTCTAAGAAAAATGATAATGATATCAAAAAGGAAAAAACAAAAAATGAGAGAGAAAATAAGAGTGAAGATGCCAAGGACCCTAAACGGAAATCATCCAAAGATATAAAGGAAAAAGGAAAGATTGAGGAGCCACCTCAACACCCAGGACTGTTTCTACAAACAACACGGAGCAAGGGATCAAAGGTATGTTGAATTGAACATTTACTGGATAACCATTTAATTTTTTCTAGCCAAATAGTTTGAGATGTTTCTTTTCACTTGTAAATTGAACTGCAGATTAGATCAATGTCTCTCTCATTGGATGGGCTCCTGGATTATAATGACAAAGACATTGAAGAATCAACGTTTGAGGTTGGTTTTCTTAAAAAGAATCACCTATAGTTCCACTTAAAGCATGGACGCCATTTTCTGAACATGTTTTGTCTTTCTCATCTATGTTTTAATCTTTTTCAATCTCCAAAAAGTTGAACCAACTGATGATGTCATAAATTGGGGAATGACATCTCGTGGGGGAATGACATCTCCATCCATGTTGGAAATCTTGTTATCATGATTAACACTTTCCACTTGGGTGTAACATGTCACAACAAATATAGCTTTTAGTTCTTTTTGCTCATCATTATGAGATGCTATCTTCTTGAAAAGCAGAGTGATGTCTGATGTATTGTGATTGATTAATATTCTGTTACAACCTTGTGCAGTTATCTGTTTTTGCTGAATCACTAAATGAGCTGCTTCAGTACCAAATGGGTTGCCGTCTGTTATCATTTCTTGAGGTAGAATTTACTAATTTATGATATTTTTTTTTCTAAATTCTTGATGTGTATTTTCTCTTCTAATATTCTGTTTGTTTCTTCATATACTCCTTGGTCATTTCTTGAGGTAGAGTTTCCTAATTTTCTAATCTGCCTTTTCTTTTGTATGTAGAAATTGCGCAGAAGATTTGTTATAAAGAAGAACCAGCGCAAGAGACAAAGAGATGAAAAATCTGAAAGGGATAACAAAGAGAGCTCATCAAAGCGTTCTAAGGTCACTGAAGAGTCTCCAGTGCAAAATGAAAAATCTGGAAAAAAAGATGCTGCAGAAGATAATGATGAAACAATGGGTGAGCGTGGGTCTGCAGATGAGAAAGGTGAACCTAAAATAGAAAAAAACTCAGATAATGGTGCTGACAAAGTTGAATATGAAGAAGGAAACAAATCTGAGACTGATGATGAAAATGATGAAGAAGAAGAGGAGGATCCAGAAGAAATAATGGAGGAAGATCAAGAAATGAATGATGTTCCTTTGGATGATGGAGGCCAGGAGGTAGGCATTACACTGTTTTTTTGTTCTAAAAATTGTTTATAAAAGCACCCTTCTTTCAGCATGACTATTCCTCTTAGAGATATCTTTCACCTCTGATGGGGCTAGAGTTCACCTAATTTTGTTATTGCTAATTAGGCTTGACTGCTCATTTGGTTGGAGTAGGTGTTCAAATTTGAATTAGTGGAATCCACTGGTAATGGTTCATCCCAAACAATTCACTATTGCCTTATCTGGGTATTAGAGATATTACATAAAAAAATAGGTATATTTCACGATGGGGGTGACGAGATTCTGAGACTCATGTTTCCATTATAACCTATTATCATTGTTGCTTTTTCCAATAAATTATGCATATTTTTATCAGAGATCTACAAAGGCATGAACCTTTTTTTTGGGACATTTAGGTGTAGTTTGATATGAAAGGGGAGTGGAACCTAGAATAAAGGCTACAATTTCTTGTGTGCTTCTGTCCTGCTGTTGATCAATGAAGTCCTCTTAAAAGCATTATCCTTTATTGTAGGCACAATTGAGATCAGCCTGTTTTTTTTCGATCTGAAATTGATACGTAGATTTCAAGTAAAACTTCTGTTCTGATCAGTATTTATGGTTTTCCATTTTGATGAGTAATTGTTTCTATTATACACAATATGTGACTTGTGATACTTTATGCATTAGAACAGGGGTTAGGCGATCATTTTTGTTATTTGATTAGAGTTTGACAAGAAACTAGATAGGTGCGTTTGACTAAGTGATGCATGTTGCAAGAAATTTTGTAAGATAATTGTTAGACTGAAATAAACTTATGGTTGGGTATGCATTCAATAAAAAAGAGTCCTCTGCAAAGTATGATTGATGTGGCATACACAAGAATATGCTTATGTTTTGCAAAAGAGGGAGGATAATTACATAACTGAGTTCGTGAGAAGTAATTGGTGTTTAGTAAAGTTATAAATGTTTAAGGTCAGGGATGCTTTGTAGATAAAGTGAAGATAGCTACTCAATATTGCACTAACACGCTTGACAATGTTGGAGGAGGCCTTATTTAGGAGTGATGCTTGTCCCTGTGAAGGATTACAAAGTCATGAACAGGACCTTGACAGGGATGGACGTTATTGAACGATTTGAAAACTTAATGTAATGCAAGTCACTGGTGAAATATGGTCACACAATTGTATCTTTAATTGATTGGGATAATTTCTGATTATGGTATTCGGATTATTCATTTTTTTTCCATCTATGATATTTGGTGTGTTCGCTAATTTCAGTTGTCTTGCTCTGACTGTCAGATTCTTCTGATGTCATGTGTTCATTCCTTAGCTGTTGCAATTTAGAGTCATCCAGTGCCCTCTTTTTTTGGCAAATTATATTGTGACTACAAATTACACCATCTGTAGAAAATGGAAGATAGCTTTTCTGATGATGAAAATTGTATCCAGGATGATATCATGATTAGACAACTGTCCTACGGTTGCTATACGGTGTTGTTTTTCCTTGGTTTTCTCTTTTTTTTCTGGCAACCATTAGGGATATAGAAAGATTTTTCAATTTATTTTTCAAATTTGAAAATAACATAGATGAATTAAAGGCTGAGCCTGAAAAGGCACCAGCTGAAGATGGCAATGGTACAAGGACAGTGAGTAGCAGTAATATTGAACCAATGGATGATAAATCAGATAGGGGAAAAAAAGAAGATGATAAACGGTCTGAGACAGCAAAATCTGAATCTGTAAAAGAGGATACTGTTGATAAAGAAGCACTGCAGGTAACCTTCATGTCTTATTTGAAAATCTGGAAATTAATTCTTTAATGTGTTACTTTTTTTGCTTGATGTTGACTTGTTCCTGTTACTCTTAAATAGGCTTTCAGGTACTTCGATCTTAATCGTGTGGGCTATATCAAGGTAACGGATGCTTTAAATCCTTCCTGTTCTCCTTTGATTGATGCTTACATCTATGGTTGCCTTAAAAGTATTCTTTGTTTTGCCTCTGTAGGTTGAAGATTTGAGATGCTTGCTACACAACTTGGGCAAGTTTATTTCTCATAGAGATGTCAAGGTAGGATCATTGCATGTTCTCTTTGAAAATGCACACTTCTCTTTTGTCATATTATTATTTCGTTAAATTACAAAAATTGTCATGATATATTACTACAATTGTTTTGAAAACACTGAAGGGACCAAATTGTCAGTTTTAAAACGTTAGGTATTGGTCATGTAAATGTTAGTGGGACTTTATGCGAGTGACCCTCTTTTTACGGTTGATTGCCTGTGTAATTAGAAGCCCTTTTTGACGTATGCTCGTTTCTTGGAAACAGGAACTAGTACAGAGTGCCCTCTTTGAAAGCAATACAGCGAGGGATAATCGCATCTTTTACAAGAAGCTTGTGAAGCTAACAGACCTTTGATTCATGGATCACTTCAAAGTGTGGATTATCGATTGAATCCAGATTGATGCTGCAAATTGTTTAGAGGTTTCAGATTTCTCTTTTTGTGACCTTTATCTGAGATAGTTCCATTGTTTTTCATCGTCAAAGGAGGTAACTGTTGTTCTCAGGAGCTAAAAGTAGTGTTAGGTTGTAACTATTAGCTACTAATAAGTGGCAACTTTATTTCTTGAAACGTGTATTGCTGGTCACTTTAAGCATGGTACGTGTCCGTGTTTTTTTTATCTGCATGTTTTTTTTATCTGCATTAACGTTGCGCAAAATGCTCATAATATTTCAGTGACCCAGGAGTTGTTTGGTTTCCAGAAATTACGAATGGAGCTGGCTATCTGTAAAAAGTTGCAACTGCAGTTTGTAGTTGTAAGTTCTTCCGATAGTTCCACATTTCTAATTTATGGCGTCTAGTATCATATTTTTAGTTAGTGGCGAGGGCAAAGCATGTAAACTTCTGCCTTGATCTAAGATGTAATTGCTTGGGCTCTTTGTTTCTACTTATGTGCGCGCCCTGGTTTAATAATTCTCTTTGTTCTACTGCACGAAATAGCACTCTCCCTGGGATTCTATTACATATGTTGATTAGATGAATACAAAGACCATACTTTGTCATTTTGTTCCAAGGCTAGCTTTGGATTTTTGTAGTATGGTCATTTTGTACGTAGACCATACTTTGTCTACTGACTCTATCAACAACAGGAGCTGCTATTGTACTCTGATTTGTTTTCATTTGAGTCATTGATTAGACACTGGTGATGAACTATTTCATCGCTTATCATGATGCTTTTATTTGAGTCTGCATGTTTAATTCCAAATTCTTCTGTTCTGCATTTAATTTGAGGACTTTCATCTGATACCAGGTGTCCTGAGTGAATCATTTAAAGTATTGCATTAGTTTCTGTCTTCCTTAATAATGATCACACTGCGGAACTCTGAAATAATATTGGTGATTGTAATAATACGACCTTAAGAAAAAAAAAACAATTACATTGATCTTCTGTGTTGACTGACTTGATGTAAAATTTGTTGGTGTGACACGTGGTATATCCTCTTATCTCCCTATATTATGATTTTCGGTGGAGTTTTCCGCGTAATATGTCTTTTTGAGAAACTAGCTGAGATGAATATGGTGGTCAAATATGTTGACTGTTTTCTTTAGGTTTGTGTTTATTATAACTCGGTTGCAAGATAATTTACCTATGATGAATTTGACACGAATATGGATGTGGCCTAGTACATCATAAGAACCACATCCTCTTGGAGATTTTCATCATCACTTGATGTATATATTTACACCGAAAACACCATGAAAGTTTACTAACCCAAAAAAAAAAAACCTTAAGAGTTTCGAGAATTGAAGAAAATACCTTAGAAGATTAAAAAAATTACAAATATATGTTGAAAATTAAAAAAACTTTCAAACATTAACTGAAAATCAATGAATTACAAAAATGACCCTAAAAAGTTTAGGGTATTTTTTTTTAATTTTCTAAACTTTTAGTGTTTATTGCAAACTTTAAATTTATAGATTTTCAATATACCTTTTTATCCTTAATTTTTTCATAAAAAATTGTAGGGTGTTTTTTTATAAATTTTGAAACTTTCGGAATGTCTTCTACAATTCCTAAAATTTTTAAGGGGCTGTGTATAATTCTTATATTTTTAGTGTATTGTTTGTAGGTTTGAATTTCTCAGGTCATTTTGTTCGTAAATTTTGAGTTTTTTTGTAATTTTTAAAATTTTATGGCGTTTCCTACAGATTATAAATTGTTTAGCAGGTTTACTTCTCTATTTGTGTTAACTGAATCCATCTCCACATAAGACCAAAATACTATAAAGATTGTGTGAAACTCTTTTGCGTACATAAACTACTGTCTAGAGTAACAGATGTGTGTACTTCTATAACTTTGGCTTTTTAAGAACCACTTCCTTTCAAATATCTTCATTATTGCTTGACATATCTATGCATTACATTGAAATAACCCAGAAAATCTTGAAAATTACAAAAAAAACCTCCCTTAAAAGTTTCAAAAATAATAGAAAACGCCACTATAAATTCAAAAAATTACAAATATATGCTGATACTTGCAAAATTTTCTAATATTATATTGAAAATCAAAGAATTGCAAAAACACCCATGAGTTTTTTAATTCTTAGGGTGTTCTTTAAAATTTATAAAACTTTTATGGCGGTTTCTAAAAATTTCAAATATATATATTTTCAATGTACTGGTTGTATCTTTGACTTTTTGAAAGCGCTTTTAAAAAAATTGAATTTTTAGAGTGTTTTTTTATAATTTTTGAAAGTGTCAGGCTGTGTAGTCTAAATTTAGGGGTTGTTTAAAATTCTTATATTTTCATGTACTTTTAGTAGGTTTAAAATTCTATAGGCTTTTCTTTATAAATTTTGACTTTGAGATTGTTTTTGCAAATTTTAAAAAAGTTCAGGGTGGTTTATGCAGATTATAAATTTTTTAGGGGGTTATTTATAATTCCTATACTTCGAGTGTATTGTTAGATTTGAAACTCCCGGGTTATTATCAAATTTTAATTTTGAGGATAATTTTTGAAACTTTTAGGAAACTTTTAGCAAATTACAAATTGTTTAGAGGGCTATTTGTAATTTAAATCATTTTAGCGTATTATTAGGTTTGAAATTTTGAGTGCATTTTTTCTAAGTTTTGAATATTTTAAAGGTTTTTTTTGCAATTTACAAAACTGTTAGGTCATTTTTTTGCAAATTTTACAATTTTTCAGGAGAATGTTTGTACTTCCTAGATATTTTTAGTGTATTATTTGTAGGTTTGTAATTTTTTGAAAGTTTTTACAAATTTAACTTTTAAGAGGTGTTTTTGCAAGTTCGATATTTGTTTTGGGATAACTAGATTTGAAGTTTGAATCTGTTCATGTAAGGGTAATTAGAATGTTTAAAATTATAGTTTACATAGGATTATGATAATTAGGATAAATTAGGATTTTAAAATGTAATGTCTGTAAAGGCTTTTAATTCTAGGTTAGCTCAATGTAACTTAGTGTTGGCCACTAATGTGGATCCTGTTCAATTTATAGCCCGGTATGTGCATTTCCATAGCAGAGTTTTTTTTTCCAATAAAAATAAGGTTAGGTTTTTTTTACATACATACCCCTTAAACCCCTTATTATCAAATTGTTATCTCCTAATTTAAAAATATTACTATTAGATAGCTACTATTTATTTCTTTACTAATTACCATAAATAATTAAATATAAAAATAATAACGAACTCTTGTCAATTCTTTACATGTTAGCTAAAATTACTATATATTCAAATATTGTTACTGTACTTTCTCATTATTGTTATTTATACCAATTAGGATAGGATAACAATGTAATACGTAAAATGATCAATGTTATTTTTGTCTATGAAAAGTTTTTCTCAAACTCACACTTTTATATAAAGAGTAAGTATGATATGATTATATATGAAGGAAAGAGTCGTTTGTCCCTTTTCAATCTTATTTAGTATTAATTACTCAAAATCAATACAGATGTATAAGAGGATTGCTTATCAAAACTTTTGATTGCCTCTTTTACCTCTCCATTCTAATAATTTATAATTATGTCATTAGTTGTAATAATTATCTCTTTACTAATTGCCTCCTTTACCTCTTATTAATTAATTAATTATGCACCTATTCACTTTTCTAAAATCTTTGGTCATTCACTTTTATTTAATTATATTATTTAATAGTATAATTGAAATTTACCCTTAATTTATCTTGTCATAATATTTACAATTCAAAACATGAATAATACAAAATGCATGAGGCTTATGCCTTATTGTTGGTATCTTTCCTCATATAAGATTGTGACAACTCATTTCATCTCATTAACATTTCATTTTTTTGTTTTCCTCCCAAAAAGCTAGGAAAATAATTTCCTTAAGTGTGGGTCACATCATTCAATAATATAATGACAACTCATCTCATCTCATCTATTTTCTTATTTTTAAGAAATAACCAAACAAAAGAAAACAACCTAATACAAGAAATAGGTTTCTTATAATTCATTTTCTTATTTTTTCCGCCAACCAAACAACATCAAAACAAGTTTTTTTTAAAATCACTCACATCATCCTATAACAAGGTGACAACTCATCTCATCTCATCTCTATTTCTTTGATTTACTTCTTTTTTTAGCCAACCAAACAATCACAAAACCTATTTTTCTTAGAAATAGGTTTCATTTTCTTTGATTTTCCTCTTTTTTTAGGCAAACAAACAGCCCCTAAAACAACTTCAAATTGATGGTGGGATACAAGTCCCATTCATCTTTTACTTTCCATATGATTTCCACATAAGCTCCCCTATATTAACTAACTTGGGTGACGTGTCTCCACTTATGTGCTCAAATCCCATGTTAGGCACAACTGGGCCCACAAAAGCCCTAATTAGTGAGAGAGAAAGATGTAATTAGCAATGAAAGCACAGCAACCTAAGAGACATCAGAGTGGTTAGAGGCTGCTCAAAAGTCTCACTCGTCACCAGCTCAATGCATCCGAACTAATGCAACCATTAAACTAATTAAACTGAACTACCCCCTATACCTAGGTAAGGCTTGCCTGGATCCTATAGGGTTGTGGGACCCATATTTATGTGGGTGGCTCACAGCTGTCACCCACGTGGACCCACTTCCATCTACCAGCGTCACACAGCTGTGTCCACGTGGTCCCACGTTATTGACATGGCAAAGTCATTGTAGCTTCACTTGGGGCGCGTTTGGTTACCTCTTTTTAGAGGGGGAAATGAGTTGAAAGTCTGTCAAAAGTGTTAGTTTTGATAGATTTTCTTGCAAAAACGCTTCTAAAAAGAATCGTTTTTACAAGAAAGCTTGTCAAAACCGACACATTTGACAGGTTTTCCCCCTTCCCCCTTATGCAAACAAACAGCCCCTTGCAAAAATCCTTGAGGCGGGAGTTTGAGAGGGGGAAAAAGAATTAAATTAGTGTAACTACATCATAAAACCTGTACTGTTTTTGCATTACTAACAAAAAAACGTGATCCTTTCTTTTAAATCGCAAAGAGAAATTTTCATGCAAGTGAAAGATTAATGTTAAGAAAGTATTTGCCTGTTAATAGTTGAGGGGGGGGGGGGGGGGGGGGGGGATTTTGGAAATACTTGCTCTGATTTTCTTTCTTTTGTGCTGTGACGTTCCTCGCCAGCGAGGAAATGGTTCTCGAGCCTTAAAAAGCCCCCTAAATCTTTCTTTTTTTTTCTTTCTTTTTTAAGAATTTGTGGCAATGGCGCCTCTCCTCTCCTCCTCTCTCTGAACTCAGAGAAGAGACCGTGGTGGCTTAACAAAAGAAAGGTTTGGAAGATTTTTTTCAAGGTTTTTATGCATTTTTTCCTTTTTCTTCTCTC